GCCAGTTCGATGCCCAGCCAGCCAGGGAGAATCCCATATTGCAAGGCAGACCTCTCCTGTCTTGCCCACTGCTCCCCTCAGCAGTGCCTTTGGTCTGTCAGCCTGTTCTTCACCCCGCTCTGTCTGTAGTGAATCCTCTCACCCTCCCGTGACTCTGGCCTGTACCCCAGCTTTTGTATAAATAAAAATAAATCTTCAAAAAAAAAGAAATAGTAATTCCTTGCCTTCTAAATAAATAGAACTGAAGAATAAGACATCCTGTTTTGATTATTTAATGACTGTGTTAAGTAGCAGGCAATACAGAAGCACTGAAGAAACAGACAGCACTATTATAAGATTGTCACCCAAGATTCGAGTCTTATGTGAAATGGTAACTAAGCCCCTTCTCTGAGTTATGTTATTATCAACTCCCCAGAACTCCTCACTTTGGGCATTTTAATTAATACTACCCATAAGACAACACCAATCACCTCTGTCACTGGGAAAACAATGCAACTTATTTTCCCAGTCATTTCTGGCTTAGGTTGACCACAACTCTGGTCTTAATCACACATCTATGAATCACATGTCTATCACTGTTATGTCCCTGAGAGACAACTGTCCAGGATTAGAAATGCCACCTGAGCACAAAGAGCTAAATACAGTGTTAACTTGAATACACCAGCTTCTTAGTGGTTCTTGGTCTCACTAAAGCCAAACTAGTGTCTCATAAACCACAGACATCAAGTCTAGGAAATATCTAAAGAAACCAACAGGATCACCTTGAATTTTTCTAATGCATGTTGGGTATTTCTTTACTGCTTACTTTTTGAGAGGACTTAAACAAAACAAGATAATGAAAGTCACAATGACTAATATTTTAGCATTTACTCATTCCTAATTTAATCTCTTAGTCCTCATCAAAATTTTGTGGGTGGAAATTTAAAATAATACAGTTGTTTTGGAAAAATTTGGCAGTTTGTAAAATGTTACAGTTCAAATTACCACATGACCACAAAATTCCCATATGAAGTAATTCTACTGTAGAATTTGACTCAGAACATGAAAACTGAACAAAAATGTTGATAGCAAAATTATTCAAAACAGTGAAAAAGTGGCAACAATCCAAATATCCATCAGTGATGAATGGATAAACAAAATATATTCCATCCATACAACAGATTATTATTTAGCTACATAAAGGAATAAAGGATTGCTATATGCCAGAATGCACATGAACTTTGAAAACATCAGACTAAGTAAAAGAAACCAGTCACAAAGACCACACATTATATGATTTCATTCATATGAAATACACACATAGGCAAAACAAATCTGAAAGACAGTACATTGGTGCTTACCCAGGGCTGGAGGTAGAGAGTAAGATGTAGGTAATGAATAGTGATTGCTAGTGGATACGATGTTTATGGGGTGTGATGAAAATGTTCGAGTTAGATTTTGCTGATCCTCATACAATACTATAAACATTAAATACTGAACATTTAATACTTAGCTATTTTATTTAAATTGGTGCACTTTAAATTGGTGAATTTGATGGTATGTTAACTATGAAACAATAAGACTGCTTAGAAAGACAAAACCTTGTTGCCACCCAAGATGCCATTCTCATTGACACAATGAATAAAATGAACATTCAAAAGATAATTGTCTTGTTCAAGTCTGAAATTATAAAATTGGCTGAAACAGAACTCAGCCTCTACCATTCAAGTTTAATGTCATTTCCTATTTATAAGCATTTGCTTCATAAAATGGGGGCCAAAGCTTATTTACAGAGACTACTTGGACTTTAAAGGGTTTTCAAAAGATCACCTGTGAAGAGAAAATCAGAGAGTTAAAGATTCAGAGTTAGAGATAAGAGAATGACAATTATAATCATTTTGAATTATTTCTAATGATGTTCTGGAAAAAGAGGTAGAATTACTTTGCTTTACTGCAAAGGACAAAACTGGACTCAAACAGTATAAAGCTTGGGACTAGACAGAGAAGTTGTGTTGAAACCATAGGGTTAAAAACTTGTCAAAGAATGAATTTTGAAACAGTCCCACCTAAAACACTGGGAAACATACTTGACACCTTTAATCTACCGTGGATTCATCTGAATTAATTCAATATTTTTTTACATCATTCTTAAATAAGTAGGGATGTTGCTTGGGTGGTCCTTTAGCAAGCACCCAGAAAGTATGAGGCGTGCTTGGCGGGAGAACCAGGCATGCCCACCCAGGTTCCACCCAGTTTGCAGATACTGTCAATCCAAATAGTGAAGGTAATTTCTTTCCTCTGTTAATATGCTTAGAAAAAAGTACATGCATGACCTTGACCAAATTAACATGATGGTTGGCTCTCAGAGATCTAAGCAGTCCCCTCAATTAAAACAAATAAAAAGAGTAAGAAGAGGAGGTATAGGGTCAAAACATCAGAAGCTATCTTTGCACAAACAGTCCATGTTGATAAAACGTCACTAAAAAAAAAAATCACACATTAAATCTAGGAAATACCACAAAACCTAGATGATCTGGATATCCTTTAAAATCAGTATTATTTCTTTTACTATCTGGTTTATGGTTAGAATTAAGCACAATAAAATAATCATATAAAAGAGAAAAAAGAGCATACTTTGATTACTTATGACCTTGTACTGTACAAAAAAAAAAAACAACCACTAAATGTGAACCCTCTCAGATTCCTAATCCAGACACAATCTTTCCCCAGGTACTCCATGCTTGCCTTCCCTATAGATGAACAGGACTCCTCTGTGTTGAAATGGATTCTTTCATGTTGTGCTTCCAAATCCATCTTCATCTCAAAGGAATTCTTCTTCCATTTCCCTATGGGTGAGAAACTCATTTCTGTGTACCTTCATACTCAAGCCACTCTGAGTATGCTAGACTTAAACGGCCTGCTCAGCCACCATTTTGATTAAGTGCAGTTCTGAATCCCAATACAAGGTCAGAATAGCCCAGTTAATCAGTTATATAATCTAAAAGAATGTAATATACCAGACCCTACACAGCTCCTTTCAAATTAAACAAGAGCAGGATACATGATGGCCCTGGAACAATGGGTATACATCACGAGGTATGACCAGGAATGCAGGGGGCATGAATTGGTCCATCAGTCAATGCTGGGCATTGACTGATCATGTGACCCAGAGACTGAACAGTGGAATGTCTTGTTGATAAGATTGGAATCATAGCCAGGGGTCTGGGGTATGGTTCCCATTACAACATGGGTTGTCAAGCAGATGAAAATATAAGATCAACAGACTCATGTCACCCTGAAGCCCTAGATGAGATAAGCACATTTTCAGTTTTACCTACCCCTTTTCTCTTTTTTCTCCTACCCCATGTAATTGATGCTGTATGATTATTCTATCAATAGGAAGGCCAGGATCTTGCTCTTTGGCAGCATCTTGCACTGCACAGCTTGCTCCATGACTCCTGTTTGTCAGTGCGGTGTTGTCAATGCAACACCACTCAACAATATTTACTTGTCTTCACTTTCATATCATTCTTCATATCTTTACAATATATTCATTAAGATCACTAATAATGTTCTCATTTTTTTAACTAGTCTCTTTATAAATTTTTTCTCCTTAGATGCTATAATACCAGGTTCCTCTCCTTCTTGTACAATTCTTGTATATTGTTTTCTGGTTCTTTCTCCACTGCTCACAAGAAGATGGTGACTTCCCTGGATTTCATCCTTCTTTTCCACACTACCTAAGTTCTGCCCTTCAAAACTGTTTACACTGTCACCCACCAAATTTTCCAGAACATCAACCTGAGACATTCCGAATTCCTCTTTTCTTCTTTTACACCATGCAGCCAACTGAACCTCAACAACTAGCAGTTCAATTTCTGAAACAAATCTCCAATATATTCCTTTTTTTGTATAGACACTCTTACAGGATCTGATCAGACCACATATGACCATTACAAATGTTTTCTAGCTTCAAGTCTTACCTTTCTTCAGCTATCATTCTAATCTATCCTTTTACACTGTTGCTAGGGTAACATTTCTAAAATAGATATCTGGGGGCCCCCCTGGTGGTACAGGGGTTGAAGTCTCAGTGCTATCAAGCTATCTGCAGCCATTGCAGCATAAGTTCAATCCCAGCCAGGCAGCTGCCCAACATGGCACAGCAGACCTTTCCTGTCTTGCCAGCTGCTCCCCTAAGCAGTGTATTTCAGTAGATTGGCCTGTTCTGATCCCCACTCTGTGTCTGGTGAATCCATTCACCCCCTGTACCCCTGGCCTAGATAAAATAGATAGCTGATCATGTTTCCTTGTTTCCTTTTGATACTGCCCAGAATTTTTTTTTTCAAATGCATGAGTGGTACCATTCTAAGTGCCTGACAGATATCAGTTCATTTAATCCCTACATAAGTCTTGAAGTAACATTTATCAATGTTCCCATTTTACAGATGAAATAACTGAGACACAGAAAATAAAATAATTTGTCTGCCATCTAATAAATGGTAAGGGGGTAATTCAAGCTAAGGCAGATTGGTGAGAAAATCTAAGCTCCTAATCACCACTTCAAGCCTGAAGCCTGTGAACTATAAAAAGGCAGAGTTCCATGTTTTATTCATGTTTGTAACCAGTACCTAGCAAATTACGTGCCTCATGGCTAATACTATTACTGTATGCTGAGTTCAAAGCCAAGTTGCAATAAATTCTAAATATATTTTCCACTGATATTGATTTATGTATTCTTCAATAAGATCAAGACAAATGTTTTATATAATTAAATTTAAGCATCAATAGAAATATTTTTAAATATTTTACAGTTGCAAGAGACTAAAAATATATACATACAGGTATTAGTCACACCACAGTAAAAATACATCATGACAGATAGCCAATCTGAAAAGTCACAGGATTATTGATCAGATAGGCACTGAAACAGAAACTCTGTTACTCCATTGGCCTTCAAGGACATGAAATAGGAGTTTGTGCCATGAAGCATTTCTGCAAACACAGTATGAAATATGGTGTTCCTCTGAGTATCAAGATGCTTCAATCCAGAATCATCGTCTTAAATCACCACAGGGTCTTTCCTTGCCTCTTCTTCCCATCTTATAAGGCACTAAAATTTCAGAAATGAGAAACTGCTTCAATGACCACAATATGAAAGGGGTGTTGCTCCTTATCTGAAGGAGCAAATAATGTTAAAGAAAATAGTGTTACTGCCTTCCAAGACCAGTCAGTGAGAAGCAAAGCAATTGCCAGCCCTGGAAATCCTTTATTTGAAAAATAAAATGGTATAAAGTTCTCTTTCATTTTCAGAAACTGTATCCTAGAAGAAAGAATGCACCGATTGTATAAACTGCAAAAGTCACAGGGGGTAGGGGTAGGATGTTAGAGACCATGTTTGGAGTGAAAGACCTGACAACACTGGTTTTCAGGCATTGCAAATACCTGTTATGTAGCCATGGTTTTAAAGAAAATGTATGTATAGACCGACTAATAATTTCTCTCTCACACATACACTCATACTTGCACATTAACACAACATTTGCAAACATATATAGTGTACAAACAAAGGCAGCATATGACAGACAAAGTAGATGTTGGAATCTTATCCAGCTCTGTCATTTGCTAAATTATATGGTAAGAGACTTTTTTTTTTAACATGAAAGAAAGTACTTTCCTTACAGAATCATGAAAATTATGTCTGTAAATTTTGTATCCCTAAATACATCTTCTTCATGCAGTCATTGGTGTCATAATTAATAAACAATATTCAACATTAATATACAAGGGCACAAACAACTTCAAACAAGTCTTCTGAAAGGAATTAACTGAAAACTAAAATCACATGTGACAGAATAAGAGAAAAAAAATGACAGACATTAAAATGGGGGTGGGTTAGAGTGAGAATGTCTGCTGGTGTTAAATAGCAGTACTTGGGCAAAGGTGTGAAGCCAGAAGGCTGTCCTTACATTCAGTCCCAGGCCTCTTCAGAGGCTGGCATCTTCTAACCTGCTTAGAGTCCATAGGCCTTATTCTCTAGCCCTTATCACACCTGATTCATGTGAGATATAAAAAACGAATAAAGGACTTTTCTGCTCTCTGGCATTTGCATTTTACTGTGGATGAGAGATTTGGATCACTGTGCTAACAGTCTGAAGATGTTTTGTGTGCAGTGTGGTCTGCATGTTCTGCATCCAGGCATTCAACCAAGCCCAGATCAAAAATATATAATTAGGTCTAGGATAGCTGCATCTGTACTAAACATATATATATATACACTTTTGTTATCTTTTTTTTCTAAACAATACAGTACAACCACTGTTTACATGTCATTTACATTGGATTAGGTATAAGTAAACAAAGATGATTTAAGGTATATTGGAGGATGTGCATATCATACCATCTTATGTAAAGGACTTGAGCATTCACAGGTTTGGAGATCTGTGGGTGTCCTGAAATCAAGCCCCCACAGAAATTGAGAAATAACTGCATAAAAATAGACATGGGTCATGCAGCAAAAGAGAACACTATTGTTGTAACATTAAAAACACTGCTGAACTCACTCTAACCTGCAAAATTGTCACAACTCCAGGAAGAGAAACACTTTATCAGTTATTCCTAAGAAAACAATGCCTGAAGCTCCAAGATTTATTACTGACACTACACACAGTGTTGTGAGTTGTAGACACGGGCTCTGACATTTTAGTAACCCTCTGCAAGAAACAAACTGATGTATAGAGATTATGTGGGGGAAAAAGAAAAAGAAAATCTAGATATTCGTGGTCAGTAAAAGAAAAAACGAATTTCAAAAAAAATAAAAGCAACAAGTACAGTGAGGTTGTGACGATAAAGTTAATAATCATATATAATTAAAAATACCCCTAAATAAAGGCAATTTGAAGAGAAACATACCAACTGTCAGTAAGTCTAACAAAATTGGCTTTTTTCTGCATATTTTAAATGAATTAATAGACCGGGTCTTAATTTGGGGCCATGAGTATAAGACATATGTCTTTAAAACAATATGAGCAAAATGAGTACGAGGAGATAATCCCAGGATGAGTCATGCCAGAAGCACGTTGTGCGTGGAAAGGCGTGTGTAATCACCTGTGCTATTTGAGCTCACAGTCATTCTTTCTCTTTCCCCATTGTGCATTTGTAGTTGAATTTACGTAAGTTAAAAACTCTCATGATAGGAACTATATCTAAGATAAAACTAGAAAGAGAAGAAGAAGAAGTCTGCAATTTACCAAGTTCTCCAAGAAATCCCATAAAAATTTTTCTGAGCCTTCAGTGATAGGAATTATTTTAGCTCACCTGCCATTACTATTAAAGTTTTCACCCATTTCCTTATGCAGTAAGACTCTAGGTTCTAGGAAAGACACGGAAGATGATCACTTCTTTTAAGAAATATAGGGACACTCTCAAAAATGTAGGGTAACTTGCCGCAGGTTAGAGCTCACAAGAAGCTGAACAAGAAATTGTATCTGCTTGACTCCCAAGTAAACACTTCCCAGTCCGAGTCAGCAAGGCAATGAGCCCCCAAGTCATGCTCATCGCAGACACAGGTAATTGAGCAGATCATTCATTCCTCCTCATCACAGATGTGGCCTTAAGAAATCTTGAAGAATCCTCAAATAGTATCTAAAAAGCATTTAAAAATGAAACTTGTGGGTCATACCGAGACTACCATGCTGGGATGGTATCATTCATTTTGGTGCCTCTTCATGCGTAGGGACAGTACAAATATTTGTTGAAAAAATGAATAAAGTACTAATACTGACAGAGAGAAAAACAAGTTTGGGAATAAAAATGGAATAGAAAACTAACAATGCATACAAATAGAAAGGAAGTCTTTTGTTCATTTCATGCACATTGGGATTTGCATGAAAAGAATAAGCTGAATAGACCAGCAAACTGAATTTCAACAGTGGTTTGGCTATTCACAACAGAAACATGATGAATATTTCAAACTAAAGGCTTACCACGTTTACTTGGAAGATGGCTCCTCTTAGATCACCTCACTTTCATGCTAAAAAATGGAAAGGTCAGAGTATTTCTGGAAACATTTTCCTTTGGAGAGACATTTCTTAAAATGACAGCCCAGCAAGCCTGCATTGCATCCCAAAAGTTTGGTGTCACCTGTAAGTTCCTTTTTGACAATTGCTTATTATTTGCTTTTAAATTACCTTTGTAAATTTGCTTACTGATTTAGGGAAAAAAATCTCTCTGAATGCTAGTAATCCTTCTAAATATTTGCACTGATGCTGAATATCCTGGGGGGTGAGGTGGGAGTAAAGATGGGGGAGGAAGTAAAGGATTAAAATAGGTTGGATAGTTTCTGTGCATAACTAAAGTAAAACAGTAGTAATTATCAGTGCAATCAGTAATTATCTACCTTGAGCTGGTATGGTATAGATTAACATCACTAGGTTTCAATTTCAATGTGAGATAAGTATATATCCCCAAAATGGAGTATATAGTAAAACTTCTATTTTATTAAGAGTCACTTAAATCATTCCAGAAAAAAATGCATACATCACTCATTTGTCTTCAACAGACTATCATCAAATATAGTCACTCAAGCCTTCACTTTTGTCCAGGTGCTAGGCAGTCTCCCCAGTCAGGTAGACTTTTCTCACTAGCCCCTGAGTAGGCCTCTGGTCACTATGCTATGGGGACTAGAAGTCAATCCAGGCCTGTAAGCCTCAGGAGGTATATTATAATTACTTAAAAAATGCAGATTGTTTTTGTTTGAGAGCAGTGAGGGCCCTGAAGCTTAGAAGAAGCTTTATTTAGTTCCTGCCTAATTCATTGTTTCTTCCCAATCGAAGAATAAATCATTATGTCGTAAGTTTCTGTCTTTTTCCTAATAGGAGAAGCAAACATTGCTCTCCATTTTGACTTAAGGAGAATGTACTTTGGTTGTCTTATCCAGTTCTAGGTTTATCAGTGAACACATACCCTCTAAGTATCTCTCTTTACTCCCAGAGTAAGGATGCGGTCACGCCCTTCCTGTCTGTCATGTGAAGCCCCCACCCTCTTCAGGTTAAATGCTCCTGGCCAACTCATTTAATCTTTAGATTAAATGTAAATTCTCCATACATATGTGATTAAAGTGAGTTTTTCCTTTGCTAACCTATCTGATTCTGCTTTCATTACACATCCAGACAGAGATGAACCAAAGAAATATGGAATGAGTTTCTTGTGCTCTGACAGCATGTTTGTAGAAAACACAAAATGCATGTATGATACATGGACTTTTAGGGTTTTTGAAGCTGTAGTAGAGATATTGCTGAAGGCACTGAAATAAAACATCTTCCTCTGGGGCTAACCCCAAATATGGAGAAGAAGATCCAGTAAGTTTGGTCTGCAAACTCATCCCTTTGTATTCTACTTCTCTACCTCTCACCTTGTGCAGTAAGCCTCCATGCACCTGTACTACCGCTGTGCTCACTCACTAATGTGTCTGTCTTCCTCTATCGTTAACACCTCAAGGCAGGAGTTTGCCTTGCTCATCACTTTATTGCTGGCAATCACTGGTTCACAGTATGGTTTCAAAAACTGTCAATGGGTCAGTGGAATGTTTTTGTTTTGTTTTGTTTTGTTTTTTGTGGAATGGCTGCTACACCATCAAAGTCCTTAAACCACTTGTGAATGCAAAAGACAAAATAAAATGTCTCAGTTCCTTATACCAGGGGATAATATTGTATCAGACCTAGATCCTACCTTATTCCAACCAAATAGCCCCAAAATCCATTTTGTCTTTACAACCTCATGAGAGGAGGGAAAAAAAAAAAAAAAAACCCACAGCAACAGTGAAGGGCATGTTCCTGTGTGTCCTGGAAGCTGAAGGAAAAGAAAGAGAGCAAAGGGGTGGCGATGCTAGGGCTACCCCAGGAGTAGTGACATCGTGTCCATGACTCCTCCATTAGCATTTACCTTTGATACCCTCCAGTGCCAGAGAGTTAGGACAGAAACTGCAGACAAGTCAATAAAATCCTGTCTCTACCTAGGAGTTGAACTGTGCCTTCTACTATTCATTTCTTTCTCAATGCCAATCCTGTACACACAGAGCACAAGATCCCAATACCTCATAAATTACTGTCCCAT